TGTAGCCCCAGCTGTCCTGGAACTCACTATGTAGACCAGGCTGGCCTTGAACTTACAGAGATCCGCCTGCCTCTGCCTCCCGAGGAGGAATTTTTTTTTAAAGACAGGGTGTTGCTGTGTAGCCCAGAACTTACTATTTTCCTGTCTCAGCCTCCTGAATGCTTGTGTTACAGGCATGTGCTACCACATCCTACTTGTGTGGTGCTGAGAACTGAATGCAGGCTACCAACTTAGCTATATCCCTAGCCCTGTAGAAGGATCTTTTCTTGTCTTTCTGCTTGTGTGAATCTGTGACTCTCCTGGGACCTCGGTGTTTGTGTGTGTATCCATGTGAATTCCTAGGGTAAGGCCATAGGCTCCTGAAGGGCTCCCTCGGAGACTCTCAGTATTCCTATGCCCTGAGTTAATGCGGAAGGGATGCTGCTTGTCTGAGGTATAGAGGTTCTTGGTCTGACCACTGATCCAGCTTTCTTTGTCTCCCTATCAACTTTCCCCTTTCTCATCTCCTCCTCTCTACTTGGTTCCGTACCTCTGCTGCTTCTCCCACTCTACCCATCTCTTCTCCCACCCATTCTCCCTGATCCATACCCCTGCCTTTCATGTCTGCTCCTACCCCATCCCCCCTCAGTCCTGGTTGCAGAGGTTATCAAGTTTTACTTCCCCAAGATGGTGGAGATGCACAATTATGTCCCTGCCAATTCTCTCCAGCAGAAGCTCAGCAACTGGGGACACCTAAACAGGTAGCAGAATACCTAGGTGCAGGGTGGGACTCGGCAACCCTAGATGCATTCCCAGGCAGGGTGCTCCAGCCCTTTCACCTCCTGGGATCTTGACTTCCAATGTGACTCAGTAGTAGAATGCTTGCCTAGCACATTGACACAAGGCCCTGGGTTGATCCCTAGCAATGCAAAATAAAACAAAAAACTCCTGTGGTACTGACATCCAGACTGGGACTGTGCTGGGGGTGGGGGAAGTAGAAACAGAACCTATCTAGTAACAAAAATCAAGGAATTAATATCTTTGAATTGAAACAAGATCAGGTCACTCAAGCAGTGGGGTTCAGATGTCTGCCCTTCCACTCCTCCAGGACTACTTCTACTCCCTTCTCCATTGCCCTCTGCTCATTCCCCTGGGACTCAAGCTGCCCTACCCATGTTTACCCTGTAGGAAGGTGCTGAACAAGCTGAACTTCTCTGTCCCAGAGGATGTGATGCGAAAGATTGCACAGTGTTCTCCTGGTGTAGTAGAGCTGGTGCTCATCCCATTGAGGCAGCGCTTGGAAGAGCGACAGAGACGCAGGAAGCAGGGTGCCAGCTCCTTACAGGTGCTACTGCTGGAGCCTGCTGGGGGGGGGGAGGGGTCTCCCCAGACAGCAGAGAGCTCAGACTTGGTGCTGAGTAGGACGGGAGTGGTGCTTAGCTGGCCTAGAGGGCAGTGGAAAGAAAATAGGGCTTCTTGGAGATGGGTGAGCCCAGGCTCATAGTGGACTACGGGGATTCTTTCAGGAGTTGGTTCCTCAAGACAGCAGTGGCTACATGGATATGGGTAAGATTGCCTTTCTGCTTTCCCTGGGAAATGCTTCCCTCCTGTCCTTTCTATTGCTTTTGGGGTCAGGGGATACAGGAGAATGAAACTCCAGTAAGGTCACTCCTCCACTTGCTTTGTCTCAGGGTTGTCCCAGAAGACCCGAGGGGAAGGTGCTCCAGACCCAGTAGGAGGAGAGCAACTCAGGTAAAAGCCATGGGAGTTCTGAGGGTACCAGACTTGGTAATTTCTCCACATAGGCTAGGGGTGGGGATGGCTGCCCCTGGGGAGAAGTGGGCAGGAGGCGGGGAAGGCTCTGGAGAAGGGGAAGAGGGAAAGCCTGACCTCGAGCACTAGAAGGGGGGTGGGGTGTCTGAGGTCCAGGCCTAAGCTGCTACTCACTGTAGGGGGGGCCGGCCACTGGCGCCCCGACCCCCTGGATATAGCCAAGCGCTGCAGGGAGATCCAAGCTTTGTCCTCCAGATCGCTGAAAAGGAGCAGGAGCTGTTGGCCTCTCAAGAGACAGTGCAGGTGATGGGGCACTGGGAAGGCTGCGGGGGGGGGGGTTTGTAGGGGCAAGAGCAGTGGCAGGGCAGCTTGCCTCCAGGCTTGATGTCTGCGTTCCCGCAACTCAGGTCCTGCAGATGAAGGTGCGGCGTCTAGAACACCTGCTCCAGCTCAAGAACGTGCGTATCGACGACCTCTCCCGTCGGCTCCAGCAGGCCGAGCGCAAGCAGCGGTGAGCGGCCCCGGCTGCGCCGCTTCCCACTACCCGCCAGAGCCCAGACGCCGCGACCCACCCAGCAGCAGATGCGGATTAGGAGGGCAGAACCAGCTGTTCGCACGCGCCTCCAGAGGCTGCAGCGCCTCGCGGTGGAGGGTTGGGGTGAGCGCGTGGGCGCTCCAAGTTGGGGGAACCCGAGACTGAACTTCCTCCTTACACTCCATCCGAGCCTGGAGAAGGGACTGCTTTCCGGAGCCCAGAAGCCATGTACGGAAACGTGTCCACCTTGGTGCTCCCGGCACTGGGCCTGGAGAGGCAGTCTTCTGGTTCACGCCACTCCCCCAGAACTGGGTTCCTCCTCAGCTCAGCAGATAGCAGCATCTCCATCCAGGCCAGTTCTCCATGGCCTCGGACACGCGGAAAGCTACCCCCGGAAGCAGAGGGATTCCCTTGCCCCTCCTGGGTGCTCACCTGGGACCCATCTCAGGGCTGGAAACCACAGCAGCTTAAGGGGAAGGGATAAGGTGTGAGACTAGCTAGGAATAAGTGAGACATCTAGCTATGCAACGAACCTCCTCGCATTGGCGTACTTTTTAGGAGTGCCTGGGGAATACAGGTCAGAGTTGTTCCATAAAAAGTCGTGTTGTGCTTTCCTTCCTGTATCTGCCCTCTTTTTCTGCCTGCATTGATCCCTGAAGGCAGTGAGCTTTTGCCTCTTGTCTTCCACCCCTCCCACCTGCCTGCCCTTGTAAGTGAAAACATGTGGATTCAGGATGGCCTCATGAGTCCCACCGCTTTGATTGATGATATTGCTAGAAGGCAGGTTTTTCGTCCTGTGACAGCCAGATTTCTAACCCTGGGTTATCCAACACCTATCCTTACAGCATCCTCCTTGTCCAAACCCAGACTACACATCTTCCCACTTGTGCCCTCACATGCCGTCAACCCTGCCCATGGACTGACTTTTTTTTTTTTAATGTGTGATTATATTTCCTAAATGTATGTAAGTGTGCCCATGTCATGCAATGCTCATGGAGGTCAGAAGAAGGTGTGGGATTCCCTGGAACTGGAGTTACAGATGGTTGTTAGCCACCACATGGGTGCTAGGAATCAAACCAACATTCTCTGCAGGAGCAGCCATCTCTCCAAACTCCTGACTCTTAAGTTGGCCTTCTATGTAACTCTCAACCCTGTCCACACACTTAATTCTGTGGGCTGTGGCCACATGTTACTTACAATCCTGACCACGATACCCTGGCCATGAATGACCTTCAGTCTAATGGTTTGCTGACTGCCAATAATGCTGAACGTTTTAAAATCCTGAGATCCAGCACTTTCATATATTTAGTATATTCCATGGCAGAGACTTAAACTCTTGTGTTCTGTGTTCTGGGAGACACATTACAACAATATTCATACAGTATTGGTAGAGAAAGTGTATTAGTTATCTATTACTGTGTAACAAATTACTACCAATTTAAAGGCTTACACCAACATGTGTCTAGGCATGGCTTAGCTAGGTCTTCTTTTGGGTTGCTTACAAGGCTCTAATCAAGATGTCAGGTAGAATTATTATATCATCCTCAGGCTCAGCTGATTACTTACTTTATTGTTGACAGAATCCAGTTCCTTGTAGGTTGTCGACTTCAATATTTTTATGGTTTTTGGCTTGTGACTATCCTAATTTCCTTGACATGTGGCCATTTCCAGCATAGTAACCTATTTTTAAATTTTTATTATGTTTTTCATTTATGTGTTCATGTACTCACATGCCACAGCATGAGTGCGGGGTACAGAGGACAACTCGTGTGAGTCACCTTCATCACTGACTCATCTTGCTGTCCCCATGCAAGTTTATTTTATCAAAGCCAGCAATGGAGAAAGCTAACAAAGAGTATGTTAGCAAGACAGAACCTATAGTCTTATCTAATGTAATCATAGAAGGACACTGAATCCAGCCCACATGAACCAATGATTCAATACTATTTTAAAAATGTGTTGGGGAATGTAGCTCAGTCAGTAGAGTGCTTACCTAGCACACATGAAGCCCTATGTTCAATCTTTAGCATCGCATAAACAAGGTGTGGTGGTTAACACATGTAATCTCATTACTTGGGAGGCAGAAAGAGGATCAAAAGTTCAAGAATATCCTTAAACGGCACAGTAATTTGGGGCTGGCCTACATGAGCTACATGAGACCCTGTCTCAAAAAGGAAAGTGGGCAGGGGAGACTGGGTGGCTCAGTTGATAAAATGCTTGCTGTGTAAGCATGAAGACTTGAGTTTGATTCCTAGCACTCATATAAAATCTAGCATGGTGGCTGTAATCACAGTTCTGAGGTGGTGAAGACAGGCGGATCTCTGAGCTTGCTGGTCAGCCATTCTAGTTGAATCTTTGAGCTCCAGGTTGAGCAAGAGATCCTGTCTCAGAAAATAAGGTGGAGAGTGACTGAGGAAGAACCTGACCAACCTTTGGTCTATGCATGTACAGAGAGAGAGAGAGAGAGAGAGAGAGAGAGAGAGAGAGAGAGAGAGAGAGAAGAGCTAGGGATGTTGTTCAGTAGTAGAGCACTTCTGTAGCATTTCAGGAGGTCCAGATTCAGTCCTCAGCACTAAACCCAAAAATTCAACAATAAATGAAAATAATATTGCCTGCCACCAAGCCTAATGACCTGCGTTCAATCCCTGGAAGCCACATAGTGGAAGGTGAGAACCGACTCCAGCAAGTAGTCTTCTGATCACCACATTTATGCAGTGGCATACACGACTCTCAAATTAGTAATAATTGGTGACTACTCCTTTTATCTGAACCCTAGTCCTGGGCTGGTGAGATGGGTAAAGGTGCTTGTCATCACGCCGGACATTCTTAATTGGATCCCTGGAACCTACATGGTAGAAGGAGAGAACTGACTCTAGCAAGTTGTTCTCTGACTTTATGAATTCTTATTTCCTCTTTATTCATTCTTTAATTCCTCAAATGTTTATTAAGTGCCAACTATGTCCTCAATGCTAGGATCATAAAGAGGAGTCAAAACACGGTTGACAATCCTGTGGAAGAGAAAGCATGAGCATGACATCTAAAATTTGTTATTTAAGGGGCTGGAGAGATGGCTCAGTGGTTAAGAGCACTGGCTGCTCTTGAAGAGGACCCGGTTTCGATTCCCACCCAGCACCCACATGGTGACTAACAACTCTCTGTAACTCCAGTTCCAGGGGATCTGAACCCTCTTCTGACCCCTGTGGGGATTGCACAACATGGGTGCACTTACATGCATGCAGGCAATACATTCATACACATAAAAAAGTAAACACTTTTGCTGGGCGTGGTGGCGCACGCCTTTGATCCCAGCACTCAGGAGGCAGAGGAAGGCAGATCTCTGTGAGTTCAAGGCCAGTCTGGTCTACATAGTGAGTTCCAGGACAGCTGGGGCTACAGAGAGACTCTGTCTCAAAGACCAAAAAAAAAAAGTAAACACTTTTAAAATGGTTGTTTAATGTTTTGGATTAGACAAACACATGATTTAAAACATACACACAGACACACATGTACATATGCAAAGTGAAGAGTCTACTTAGATTTGAAAATGAAAAGGATGCTTATACATCCAGAATGTTTCTGTTTAAGGCAAAGTTTCTTTATATAGTCTTTTAAAAATTTTATCTATTTTTATTTTATGTGTAGGAATGATTTTTCTTGCATGTTGTTAAGTACATACATGGAGGCCAAGAAGAGGCTGTTAGATTCCCTGGAACTGGAGTTCAGATCATTGTTAGCTACCATGTGGGCACTGGGAACTAAACCCAGATCCTCTGCAAAAGCAGCCAGAGCTCTTAACTACAGAGTCATCACTCCAGCCCCCTTTTGTTTGTTCTTTGAGACAAGGTCTCACTATGTAGACCAGTCTGACCTCAAACTCACAGCTTTTGCTTCCTGGGTGCTGGGATTAAAGACATGTGCTGCCATGCTTGGCCTTCTTTGTGTCGTCTTGAACTCAAAATCTTCCCGCTTCAGTCTCCTGAGTGCTGGATTATAGGCATGCACCAACTGTGCCTAGATCAGCATGTATTTATGTAGTAGGCACATTTACTGTTATGTTTTTCTCTTCTTTACATATACAGGGGAGCACATTACATGGTATGTTCTGTATCTCTTGTAGATTTATAGTGATTTTTTTTTTTTTTTTTTTTGTCTTTTTGAGACAGGGTCTCCCTGTAGCTCCAGCTGTCCTGGAGCTCACTATGTAGACCAGGCTGTCCTCAAACCCACAAAGATCTGCCTGCCTCTGCCTCCCAAGTGCTGGGATTAAAGGTGTGTGCCACCACGCCTGGCCATTATGGTGATTAATTTTATGAACCACTGTGACTGGGCCACAGGGTATCCAGATATTTAATCAAACATTATTCTGAGTGCTCCATGAGAGTATTCTGGATAAGATTAGCATTTAAATCAGCAGATTGCCCTTCCTGTGGTAGGTATGCCTCATTCTATCAGTTGAAGGAATGAAAAGAACACAAAGGCTAATCTGCCTTACATATGAGAGAATTCCTAAGGCCTAATGGCCTTTGAACTGGCACCTCAGCATTTTTTGTTTTGTTTCCTGCTTTGAGATTCAAACAAAAACACAGCTCTTGCTGGGTCTTGAGCCTGAGCCTACTGGCCTTTGGACTATAACTCCCCCATTAGTTCTCCTGGTTTTCAAGTCTTTGAACTTGTACTGTAACTTGGCCTTCCCCTGTATCTCCCACTTTTGGTTCTGTTTCTGTGCTGACTTCAACAGCACATATACAAAAAGTGGTTCTTCTCTGGAGAAACACACAAGATTTTTCCATATTGGAATACTGAAAACTTCCTCTATTTTTCTTTCTTTTTTTTTTTTTTAGTCACATAAAATTCTGTTGTCTGTACCAAATTTATTTAATTCACCTAAGAGATTTATTTCCTGTCTTTTGTTGTTAAAAGTAATGTAACAATGAACAACCTACCACAATAATTTAGTATTGTGTGTGAGTTTATGATAATTCTAGAACTGGGGTTGCTAGGTGCTAGGTTAAAGAATATAATATACTGAGTATCATGACATATGTCTGTAATCCTAGTAGTCTGGAGACAAAGGTATAAGGATCAAGACTAGCCAGGGCTACATAGTGGAACCCTACCTCAAACAAACAAAATAAATTAGTATATATAATTATAGTGCAAATACCGTGAAACTGTCCCACACAAAGGCATGGCTCATAGCGATGGTGAGTACTGGTGACCTGCTGCCTTACTTTGTTTGGTCTGCAGTGTAATGTTTTCAATAAAATTACTAATTTTTTGGAGGATGGATATGAAGCAACTGGCTTTTGTAGCATGTAATTAGCAGTTATATAAACAGATGGCTATGTTATTGTATGTTAGGATCCAATCAGAGAGGCAGAAGGAGTTTATTTATTTTTGGTCTTTTGAGACAGGGTCTCCCTGTAGCCCCAGCTGTCCTGGAACTCACTATGTAGACCAGGCTGGCCTTGAACTCACAGAGATCTGCCTGCCTCTGCCTCCCAAGGGCTGGGATTAAAGGTGTGCACCACCACGCCCTGCTAGGAATTTATTTTTTATTTTCAATTATGTGTGTGGTGTTAGCATGCATATGAGTGCAGATGCCTGTGAAGGCCACAGGTGGTGTTAGATCCCTCTGGAGCTGTGAGCTACCTGATACGGTTGCTAGAAGCCAAATTCAGGTACTCTGCAAGAGCAGCAATTGCTTTTAACTGCTGAGCCATTTCTCCATCCCCCCCCCCCCCCCCCCCGAAGAAATTTCTTACAAATGTAGATACTTTTGGGAAATAAACAAGTTATTTTTATTTTTTTCCTTTTTTTGTGGTACTGGGGAATAAGGTAGGACCTTATTCATGTTAGGCAAGCATTCTACCATTGAACTATATCAATATACCCAACTGTTTTTCTTACTTTGAGTCAAGGTCCCACTATGTTTTCCAGGCTGGTCTTGAACTCACTCTGTAGAACTAGAACTCTTGATCCTCCTGCCTCAGCCTCCTGAGTAACGGGGCCAGTGGCACCCCAGTAAGGTTAATGTTTTTGCATCTGATGATGGAGTTTAAAATCTACAGGTCAGGAGTTGGGAAGAGTGGATGGTTATGAGTGGGGCAGAAGGAATACACTGGAATCCAAGTACAAAAGCTGGAGGCCCAGAGGACAGACTGGAATTCATGTCAGCTCTATCTTCAGTGAGGTGAGCCAACTGCAAAAAAACAGGCTGCCTTTGTCATCTGACTCGAGTCAGAGAAGGGAAGGAGGATCAGGGAAAAGCAGAGTCCTTGCAAGTCTACCTACTGCTCCGTGTCAGTGAGGTAAGTCAGCACATCAACTATGTGTGTGGGCTACAAATCTCTTCCTTGGAGCTTGCAAATGTCAGTTTCTGTATTGCTGCTACTTTTCTGCCACTCTTCAAATCTCATGCAAAAATGTCTGCTGTGGCCCACCCTAATTGGAAACATATGTGAAAGGGAATTTGAAAAATGCAGTTCATGCTAGCTAACACATTACAAAACTACTATGGGTGTGCCCCAGCAATTCTTAGATATATACTCAAGAGAAAAACATACATAGGATCACTAAAAGAAATGTACTAGGAAATACAAGAGTGTACATTATTTTTGTGTCTGGCCTCTTTCGCTCAATATTTTCTGTGAGAATCACCTATGATATCGTATATTCAGCATTTTCTTTGTCACTGATACACTGAAAATATATATGCGATTTGCACATTTTATTGTTGATATGCATTTGATGATTTCCATTTGGGCCCATTAAAGATGCTGCCATGAGCCGGGCATGGTGGCGCATGCCTTTATCCCAGCACTTGGGAGGCAGAGGCAGGCGGATCTCTGTGAGTTTGAGGCCAGCCTGATCTCCATAGTGAATCCAGGACAGCTGGGGCTACAGGGAGACCCTGTCTCAAAAAGACCAAAAAAAAAAAAAAAAATGCTGCCATGAATATCTCTATATATTTTATGATATATTTATAATAAGAAATTATTAGATGTTAGCATTTATCAGTTTTATTAGACATTGCCAGGCAGTTTTCCAAGGAGATTGACTTCAGTTTAATTTTTATTTAATAAAGTCCAGAATACTCTAGAGCTAGAAGTGGGATGTTTCATGTGCTTCATCTATTTTCCTAACCTGGAGTTACTCTTAATTCTTTCTCATAGTGTCCCCAACTCCAGGAAGCCTGGTTTCTAACTCTGATAAGGCCCTGGGCACAGGAAGCCTACAGGCTTAGATAGCTCTCTGATGTTAGCATGCCTTCTTCCTGGTTCACAGGCCCAGTGGGCAGTCTGGGCATCTCTGATGTTGGCACACATTCTTCTTGGTACACAGGCCCACTGGGCAAGCTGGGCATCTCTCTGATGTTGGCACACTGTCTTCCTTTACACAGGCCCACTGGGCAGCGATGAAGCAGCCATGTACCTTCTATCTTGATGCCATCCTGGCTGGCACCAAAAGTCTTTCTCCAGGAGGCTTCCAAGAACCGCCCATGGAAGCTCAGTATCCTCAAGCATGGACAGCTCTGTATCCTAGGTATTCCCAGGTAGACAAGCTTCCCAGAGTCTGGGAATGTGAAGAATGCTGGCAAAAACAGGAAACCACAGTTCTTTTTGAGTAGTGTCCTTCCCACACTAAGCTGTAGGTGCCTTCTAGTCTGTTTAAAAGCGCTCACACAGGGGGCTGTAGAGAAGGCTCAGAGGTTAAGAGTACTTGCTCTTGCAGAGGACCCTAGTTCCATTCCTAGCCCCTACATGGCTAGCTAGCTCACAACTGCCTGCAACTCCAGTTCCAGGGAATCTGATGCCCTCTTTTGGCCTCCACAGGCACAAAGCACACATGTGCACTTACATCCATGCAGATACTCACACATATACATAAAAAAAAGATCATACAGGTGTTAGAGAGATGGCTCTGTGGGTAAGAGCACCTGCTGCTTTTGCAGAGGACCTAGGTGCTGTCCCCACAACTGTTCATCTGACACTGTCCTCTGGCCTCCACCAGTACCAGGCAGGCACAAGGTGTACATACATACATGCAGGCAAATACTCATACACATAATATCTAAGAAAAAAAAAAACACAGATGGATTTCAAAGTGAAAGGTAGTATAATTTAAGGAGGGAGAGGGAATCATGAAATTGATCATCAACACAGACCCAGACAGTAAAATAAACATGAGGAACAGGGATCACAGGGGACTGTAGTAAAGTGATGTGCTCCTAAAGAGGCAGAGACCATTAAGCCACAGCTTTTTGTCCCTGTCTCGAATGTCAATGTTGAGGATATGTTGTTAGATCTGATATTTCAAAAGAAGATCGGAAATCAGAATCCTTTGTGAAAAAGTATGGGGGGAATTATAAAAACCTCAAGGGAGCTAAACAAAATACATTTGCAGGCTACTTTGACCCCACTGTATGCTGACTTGGAAGAGAATAGATTTGGAATACATGGTGGGGTTTATAGAATGGCAAGAGTAGGGGGTTGAGTAGGCTGGGATTAGAATGTGAAGAGTTCCCACTGTCGAATCTTATTAAACAGCAGAGTGCATGAATCACCCTAAAGGCTGATTTAAGTTTAAGTAGCTCTGCTGGATTCAAGTCCGGAAGCACAGAGCACTTTGGAGCAAGGGAAGGACGTTACGAAAACAGTAGCTCAGAAAGACTTATTTGTTAATTATGCAGACCGAAGACCAGGAGACAGGTTGGAGACCTCGAGGACTCTTCAAAGGCAGGGACCACATTCCTTCTGAAAGAAAGCCGGCTCTCAGCCGTCCAAACCCCCTCCCTACTATTTACGTTGGAAGGACCGATCCTGTGTGCTCTGGACCACTCCTTCAGCACTTCATGCTATTTTCGCTTCCTCATCCGTGGAAACAGGGGTAAGGATGTTCACGCACCGCCGGGTGGGGCTGTGGCAAAAACTTTCCAAGACCTTGGATTACACCTCCTCCAGGCTAGGTGCAGCCGCCCACAACCCCGGCCAGGCGGATCTAGGCGTATCCCGTTGCCATGGCAACCTCCTCCTTGGAACCCGGGAGTAGAGGCTACGGTCCCTGGGGGCGCCCGCACAAAGTTCTTCCAACGCCGGTGCCTCGTGCCGCCTTTGTTCTGATGCTTATCTGGGCCTGGCTAGGTTCCTGGGACACCTCTTGGTTCTGTCTGCGAGGGCGCGCTTGTCCGAGGCAGAGGGATGGAGTGGGAAAGCAAAACACTGACGCCCTGAGTTAACCGGGTGAGAAAGATGGTTGCTTAGCTTTTAGACATGACTACCGTGGCTCTGATCACCTAATGAAACAGACGTGGAAGTCCAGCCTTCCCCCAACGCTGAGCCCGCCTCAGGGCCACCCGATGGGTAGGCGTATCCCGGGTACTCCTCCTCTCCTAGCCCCCTTGGGTTCTAGCAGCCTAACCATCCAGCGGCCTTCCCCGCGAGAACTCGCCGGGGCCTGGGTGGACGTAGGACGGCGAACGCAAGCCTCAGCGCCGCACGTGACGGACGTAGCTCAGCACTCATTGGCGATTCTCTAGAGCCAGCTCATTGGTCCGAAGCGCCCTCGCCCCTCCCTGCCCAGGTCGACCAATGAGGGTGGCGAGGGCGTGCCGAGAGGCTGCCCCGCCGCGGGGCTCTCTTCCTCGTGCTTTTCGTTAGTTCTGGCCGCCGCCGCTTGCCGACCCTGCGGTCGCCGCCACCTCTGGCACCGCCGCCGCGGTTCTTTCCAGGCTTGGCCGCGGGGTCCGCCCGCAAGGTGAGACAGTCCCTTCACCTCACCGCCTCCGAGTCCTCCGAGTCCTCCCAGCCCTCCGAGCCCTCCGAGATTCTGCTCCTCCCTCAGCCCTGCCTGGCGGTCGGCGGGACCCCACCTGCTGTGACAGGGGCTGGAGCAGACGGCTCAGAGGCCGAGACCTCCCAAGCACCTGCGAGTGGAGACATTAGGTCCTGAGGACGCGATTGGCGGTTAGGTGGCAGAGCCGGGACGATGTTTTCCGCGGGGCACGAGTGACACATAAGGGCGGGGGCGTAATGGTGGTGGTGTCGCCCTCCCGGCGGGTCCCGACTATTGCCCCCATCTCTTTGTATGACCTTGGAAGAGTAGTCTCTTTGAGCCTCAGATGCCTGGGCACGCTCGGGAGGAGGGTGGTGATGAGAGTGCCGGCTGGGGAGTCTCCTGCGTCAGCCGAGGTGAGCTCTGGGCGGAGGTCTCAGACGAACAGAGCCGCCTGCGCCTTGCGCTGGACATGGGTACGGCATGGGTACGAGGAGGCACGTCCTGATGCTCTCCTGTCCCCTCAAAAGACAATAATAATGGGATGGGGAGTGCCACACCCATGGGGATGGCGGCAGGAAAGGATATAGGACCCCCACCCCCACGCCTCACCAATGCCAGAGCCTCTCTGGTGTCATGTAGAAGTGGTTTGATTTAGGTTCTGGACCAGTGCTCCTGTAAGGGAGCCTTAGCTTGCCTTATCTCTTAAATCTTAGCAGTGGGATGTAGGGATAGGGCATTGCCGAGGGAGGTCAGGAGCAGCTGTCACCCCCTGAAACCAGACTGGTCTCTGCTTCATGGGTGGGGCAGTCAATCTGAAGGCTACAGGAATCCAAAATAGGGAGTGTGGGAAGAGGATGCTGGGCAGAGGGAGGCCAGCAGTTGCTGGTAGACAGGAGCCATGCTGGCACCCTTTCCACAGTTCAGCCTCCCCTCCACTGTTTGTGGGAGAAAATATCTAAACCGTCCTTTCATCTTTGACCTCAGTGGGAGGAGGAAGAGAAGATAGGCCAAGGCTGAGTTGATGGGAGACTGCCCCCACATCCAACCTCATTGTAGCCTTGTCTGAGGCAGCAGTGGGCATTCTTTCTACAGGTTGAGCTTTAATGGAAAGCTGGGTAGTGCTTCTGCTGGACTGAATGATTGATCTGGGACTGGGTCCCAGGATGGGTATAGGGGGTGGTAGGAAGACTTGAAGGCTGTTTTCTGGTCTGGCATAAAGAAAGGCCTCTACCAGGTTGAAAATGGTGATTGAAAAATGATTGAGAAAGGAGGTTCTAAAAGGTTGGGAATGTGCTCCCAGCTATACAGCACAGGTTAAGCTGAGTTTGGCCTTGTGATACTTTGGTGGAGCCCTGGGCTGCCTCTGGGATAGTCTGGAGAAAGGGTTACAGATTCAAATGCTCCACTTTGCCATGGCTAGACCATCTTTGGCTGTTTGTTTGGAGCTTGATCTCTTGCATTGGGAAGCCTGGAGTTGCAGGCAGTATTCCATGGGGCAAGACCTTAGGGTGCTAAGGACCCTGGGTTTGTCTATAACCATCCAGCTGTCTGCCTACATGCTAGGTTTTGGGTAAGGTAGCCTCAAAGCAGCCATCCTCTGCTGAAGAGGTAGTTCTTTTACTCCAGTTTCCCTGAGAGGGTCTGAAAGACAAAGGCCCCAAGACCATTGTCTCAACTCTTCAACCTTCCCCATTGTGCAACTGTTCAGGATCTTACATAGCTGATGCTGGCCTCAAGATTACTATGTAGCCAAGGATGCCCTTGAACTCCTCCCTGATCCTCCTGCCTCTGCCTCTAATATGTTCTAGCAACTGTACCTGGTTTTCATTCCTCTCACTCCTGATTTGTTGATAGCCATCTAAGGACGGGAACATTATATGCTTTGTCAGAAGAGGTGGGGGCAAAGAGTACATTCTCCACATCTTTTGAGTCCTTCCGGTTGGGAAGTGTGAAGATTAGTTTTTGTCAACACAAACTGGAGTCACCTGGGAAGAGGGAATCTCAACTAAAGAATTTCCCAGAGCCAGGTGTGGTGGCAGATGCCTTTAATCCCAGCTCTAGGGAGGCAGAGGCAGGTGGATCTCTGTGAGATGGAGACCAGCCTGGTCTACATACTGAGTTCCACGCCAGCCAGGGCTACATGGTGGGCCAAAGAATTGCCCAGATCAGGTTGGCCTATGGCCATGTCTGTGAGGCATTTACTTAATTGATGATGGATATGGGATGACCCAGTCCATTATGGGGAGTGCCATCTTTAGACAGAGGATGTAAGAAAGTTAACTGAGAAAGCCAGGGGAGAGAAGGGGAGCAAGGCAGCATTCCTCCGTCATTTCTGCTTCAGATCCTGTATCCAGGCTCATGCTTACGTTCCCTGACTTCCTTCAATGATAGACCATGTTGTGGAAGTGTAAGCCAGACAAACCCCTTCCTTTCTCAAGTTGCTTTTGGTTATGGTGTTTATCACAGAAAAGTAAGACAGGAGATGTGGGAAGGCAAGTAGCCTAGATCTCCCTGAGGGCCTGTCTGTCTTCTCTGGGAGTCTGGAAAAAAGGAACAGAAGGGGGAGCGGAAGAGGCCCCTTTAACCCTTTAACTGTTTTCTGAGAAACTGAACTCCTTGGGGATCCTCCAGACTTGACCTGAAGTGCCTGTCCTCTAGTGTCTCTCTTTCGGTGAAATTGCCTGAGCTTCAGAAACCAGGCCCTCAGTGCATGCCTTTAATCCCAGATGTCAAGAAGCAGAGGCAGGTAGAGCTCTTTGAGATGGGGACCAACCTGGTGTACATATGTGTCCTAGACCAGCTGCGGATACAGAAAGACCCTGTCTCAACAAACAAAAACCCAAATAAATAACAAAAAGGAAACCAGGGTAGGAAAGTGGGAGATGAGAGCATTTTCACAGAGTTCAGGCACAGCTACACTAAACCATGGGAATTAGAGGCCACTGCTTACTCTGAGAATGAAAATGGAAAGGGCAAAATCTGAATTTGAACCAGGACTGCTGCCCCTGAGGGCCTGTGTGGCTTGTGCCACAGTGAGACTTTATTTGGCTAGCACAGGTGCAGGCTGGAGGCAAAGCCAGGCCAGGGGTTGTGAGGTGGCCTAGCAGTTCTCTGTGGACAGGGTTGCAGCAGGGGAGGCCCAGTGGCCTCCTTTCTTGCTTCTAATGAGGAATTTGTGTGGATGAGAGTCCTGCTCCCAAGGGATAGCCACTGGCAGGTTCTCTGTCCTGAAAGGAGGTTTAGTTTTTCCATTCTCTTCTGGGCCCCTGCAATCACTTGATTTACGGCTCTGATCGACTCATGGAGGGTTACAGGCAGATCCTGAGTGATTGCCCTGATTCAAGTTCCAGCCACAGCAGGCAATGAAGGTCCTGTTCTCAGTAGCTTACTCATTTCAAGGTGGGCACCAGCAGGGAACCAACTGACTGTAGTAAGCCAGCAGAAGTGGAAGGAGAGTACCCCTCCAGAGCGGAAGTTGGCTAAGAGATTGGGGTAGAAATTCTTGAGTCACTGGCCCTGACCACATCACATCTGTTATAGTTGGCTCCCTTTGGGGTGGTCATTCATTCATTCAACAAATGTAAACTGGATTAACCCTTTGTATCTGGTGCTCTGGTGGATGCTAAGGACACGTGACAAAGCCCTTTAAATTGGGAAAGATTGAAAACAAATGATCCCAGATGTGAGAAAGGGGAAACTTGTTTTTTCCTGGGATTTGGAGTGGTGTGAGTATTGCTTTTCTAAAAAGAAGATGCTGGGGCTGAGGCTGAGCCCTCAGCTTAGGTGTAGTTTGGAGATGGGGAATTTCTGACTGATGGCAAAAGTAGACAGAGACCACTCTGGGTTAGGGTGTTTTGATAAAAGGGCTCATGGGAGTCTTTGCTCACTACGTAAAGAGTTTGACCTGGGGCTCTAAGAAGTGTCTTAGGAGGTGTTTGGGGTGTAGGGGTTTGGGGGGAGGGCTTACAGACATTAGCTGTGGCTGTCCCATGCATGGCTTCAGAAGTGTGGCTGGAACAGCCACTGTAAGTAAAGAATGCCAGACACCCTGGCCCTTCTTCACATCCTTGGAGTCTACCACTTCAGGGAGTGGCTAGAATGGGTTGATTGGG